GTGATTTTTATTTTATTTTTATTTGACTTTTATTAATTTAGATTTTTTTTTACCTACGTGACTTTACCGAAAGAACCAAAGAATATCGTAGCGACGTCATTTCATGTCTCGACGAGCTCTACACGATGCGCTAGTCAAAGTTTCAACGTTTTGTTTGTGACTACGGCAATTTTGGCAACGACGGGTGCTTAGTGAAGAAACGAAAGGATTAATTTCTGGTGGGTCGCAGCGTTTGTGTGCGGCACTGTGCGCGGTGGTGGACGAAGTCGCCATAAGTAAACTAATTAATTACGTTTCGATTTAAAGCTTTCGTGACTGCAGGGATTCATCTTTTTGGTTCTTTGGGTAAAGTCACGTAGAAGGGAAATAATAAAATCATAAAAATACAACATAATAAAATACAATTCTCACGACGTTTCGGCCACAACGCAAGCAGCCGTCCTCAGGTGAAGAACAGGTCTGTCGGAAAGACAGCGTCTGAATGAGCACCACCATGCTTGGCAGCGTCTATTTAAGCTGGGTTAGAGGAGGAAGAGCGCCTTGACAAAGGACAGACCTGTTCTTCACCTGAGGACGGCTGCTTGCGTTGTGGCCGAAAATTCGTGAGAAACGTCGTGAGAATTGTATTTTATTATGTTTTATTTGTATTATTTCCCTGCTACGTGACTTTACCGAAAGAACCAAGAAGATAATTAATTACGATTTTGAATTTCGTTTATTCGGGAACCCCGGGGTTCCGCCATAAGGCTCATTTGTGCAACCAGCTCTCGCGGTGAATCCAGAATCTTCACTTTAAACCGCAGGAGGAATCCGAAGATCTGTAAAGCTCTTTCTCCCACCGCTAGGAGTAGTTACGCAGAGTCGCTGCTGCTGCTATCGTTGGCACAAGCTTGGGCTGGAGGTCACCTGTGAAACAGATCGTCATGGCGTGTTGGGTTCTTCCACCTTGAATCCAATGTCGTTGTTGTTGGTGGTGGTGTTGGCGGTCACCAGAGATGATTATCTGAACCGGTGCTGGGCTTCCCCGAGGTCGACTCAGTTGCAAATGAGTACCCGGTGCGGTGTGTAGCGAACATCGCCACTAGGGAGACAAAGGCGGCCGGGCGTGGTGCTGGCCAAACCCAGCCACCCTCTTGTATCCCCGTGCCAGCCTTCGTAGGCGCTGCCACTCGCGAACAGCAATTGCCCCCCAAAATAAGTCTGTCAAGGCTACAACGGGAGTGGGGGGGGTGTCTTTGTGTGGCGATGGTGGCTGTGGCGCTGGCGTTGGTGGCGATGGCGGTAGTTGTTTGTTGCCCCCGTCACCTTGCGGAGTAGCTGCCCTGCTCGGCGCTGCCCCGAGGGAGGTCGTGGCTCGGGTGCCGGGCCTCACGGGGGCAGCCAGGCACCGTAGCCCGCCCGCCCGTCGTGTGAACTTTTACTGCCCAGCGCTGCAAAACTCATTTGTGAAAGACCCAACGCAGAAGCACTTCCCTGGGGGTTTCATCTTCCACGTGGCAGCGGCAGATGCGGATGATACCCTGACGATGCACACAGTTTTAAAACAACAACAACTTCTAGATTTGAAACTTTCGTGACTGCAAGGATTCATATTCTTCGGTTTTTTCGGTAAAGTCACGTAGGTAAAAAATTTAAATTAATTAAAGTAAAATAAAAATACAATAAAAATCACGACGTTTCGGAGGCAACACAAGCTTCCGTCTTCAGGTGGAACCGTCACAGCACGATAGCTGTATCAAGTGAGAGAGATTCCAATAAAACAGTCCTTGTATATATACTGGTTTTCTTGGAATCTCTCTCACTTGAAGCAGCTATCGTGCTGTGACGGTTCCACCTGAAGACGGAAGCTTGTGTTGCCTCCGAAACGTCGTGATTTTTTATTTATTTTTTATTTTACCTTTATCAATTTGAAAATTTTACCTACATGACTTTACCGAAAAAACCTAAGAATAACAACAACAACAACGAAACCTTCTCCGGGAGTGTGCGACTCTGTGGCCATTCACAACGAGGACGCGATGCGCCCCGATGCACAACAAATACGCAGGAGACGGCGCAACGATGCCACTCGGCGGGCTGGATCCTGACCCATCGCGTTCGCTTGGCTTGACCCGCCTGAATGTGGTGCCGTGCTCGTTGCTTTCGCATCGACGTCGGCAGACCAATGCGGGAGGTCATTTGAGGAGTGGCCGTCGCGACTGGAGCGCTTTGTCCACGGGGAGAGCAGCGGTCTTGTGGGGGAGCGGTGGCGCAGTGGTCGGCGCGCTGCGCTACGAACGCGCCGATCAGCGGCGGATGAGCCTCGTTTCAAAAGTAGCTACAAATCTAGAAATGCTACACTACAAGTGTAGTAGCTACTACACATGTAGCTACTACTACTACTACACATGTAGTAGCTACTACTACTACTACACATGTAGTAGCTACTACTACTACTACACATGTAGTAGCTACTACTACTACTACACATGTAGTAGCTACTACTACTACTACACATGTAGTAGCTACTACTACTACACATGTAGCTGCTACTACTACTACACATGTAGTAGCTACTACTACTACTACACATGTAGCTGCTACTACTACTACACATGTAGTAGCTACTACTACTACTACACATGTAGTAGCTACTACTACTACTACACATGTAGCTACTACTACTACTACACATGTAGCTACTATACTACTACTACACATGTAGTAGCTACTACTACTACTACACATGTAGCTACTACTACTACTACACAGTAGTAGCCTACTACTACTACACATTAGTGCTACTACTACTACTACACATGTATAGCTACTACTACTACTACACATGTAGTAGCTACTACTACTACTACACATGTAGTACTACTACTACTACACATGTAGCTACTACTACTACTACACTGTAGTAGCTACTACTACTACACATGTAGCTACTACTAGCTTACCTGTAGCTACTACTACTACCATGTAGCTACTACTACTACACATGTAGTAGCTACTACTACTACACATGTAGTAGCTACTACTACTATCACATGTAGTAGCTACTACTACTACACATGTTAGTAACTACGACTTACTACATGTAGTAGCTACTACTATACTACACATGTAGATACTACTCTACTACCAGTAGTACTAGCTACTACAGACATGTAGTACTACTACTACACACATGTAGTAGCTACTACTACTACACATGTAGTAGCTCTACTACTACACATGTAGTACTACTACTACTAGACAGGTAGTAGCTACTACTACTACACATGTAGTAGCTACTACTACTACACATGTAGTAACTACTACTACTACACATGTAGTAGCTACTACTACTACACATGTGAGTACTACTACTACTACACATTTAGTAGCTACTACTACTACCATGTAGATACGACTACTACTACACATGTAGTAGCTACTACTACTACACATGTAGTAGCTACTACTACTACACATGTAGCTAGCTAACTACTACTACACATGTAGTGCTACTACTACTACACATGGTAGCTGCTACTACTACTACACATGTAGTAGCTACTACTACTACACATGTAGCTACTACTACTACACCTGTAGTAGCTACTACTACTACACATGTAGTAGCTACCTACTACTACACATGTAGCTACTACTACTACGACACATGTAGTAGCTACTACTAATACACATGTAGTAACTACTACTACTACACAGGTAGCTGCTACTACTACTACACATGTAGTAGCTACTACTACTACACATGTAGTAGCTACACTACTACACATGTAGTAACTACTACTACTAGACATGTAGTAGCTACTACTACTACACATGTACTGCTACTACTACTACAACATGTAGTGCTACTACTACGACACATGTAGTAGCTACTACTACTACACATTAGTAACTACATACTACTAGACATGTAGTAGCTACTACTACTACAGCATGTAGCTCAGCTACTACTACTACACATGTAGTAGACTACTACTACTACACATGTAGCTGCTACTACTACTACTACACATGTAGCTGCTACTACTACTACACATGTAGCTGCTACTACTACTACACATGTAGTAGCTACTACTACTACACATGTAGCTGCTACTACTACTACACATGTAGTAGCTACTACTACTACACATGTAGTAGCTACTACTACTACACATGTAGTAGCTACTACTACTACACATGTAGTAGCTACTACTACTACACATGTAGTAGCTACTACTACTACACATGTAGTAACTACTACTACTACACATGTAGTAGCTACTACTACTACACATGTAGTAGCTACTACTACTACACATGTAGTAGCTACTACTACTACACATGTAGTAGCTACTACTACTACACATGTAGTAGCTACTACTACTACACATGTAGTAGCTACTACTACTACACATGTAGTAGCTACTACTACGACACATGTAGTAGCTACTACTACTACACATGTAGTAACTACTACTACTACACATGTAGTAGCTACTACTACTACTA